TTTTCCTCCTAAACTACCTGCATTTCCCAATCACAAGCATCCTCTAAGCTGCCTGCCTCCTTGCTGTCTTACCAACTTTCTCTCCCTCTTGCACAAACTTATTGCAACTTCTCTTTGTTTTAGACCCTCCTAAATTTGCCTGCCTCCGTAGGTCTTCTATTCCTGCAGCCAAGCTTTTTTAAACCTGGTTATGTCGCCACGCTGTACTGGGCCTTGCGACAGACTAACCTTACAGCCTGACAAAATGTGCTTTAAGTTGTAGTACCTGAACACAATGCACATAGCTGGTCTCCATTTACCCAGAGTTTTAGGTTCTGGGGAGTTGGCAATACATCATATGTTGCCCCTATCAAGAATCTAATGCTACTTTCCTCCATACTCCACAGCTCTTTCCAGCTAAGCTTTTTCTTATCTACACCTTCCCAATTTAACCACTGTCCCTGCTTAGCCTGAGCCACTGCCTTTGCACCCCTTAATATCTCCTCCTGTCTACGAACCTGTTCCACACTAGCTTTTCTCTTTCCTTGGGACCTGCTCTACTCCACACTGGTTTGCTGGGCCAAGCCCCAAGCCTCCCCGCCTATTTGGACATTACCCACAATCTCTGTATGCCTGAGCGTTGCTTCTGCCTCCTGCACTGCCATTCTTGGATTCCACTTTCTTCCTTGATTGGTTTGGAACCACCTTACTGACTACCACATCTTTACTCCCAGATAACAGGAGCTCTGTCCTAACCTTAGTACATTTAAACTCCTCACCAGACTAGTGACTGGGAGCTGAAGTATTGCCTTTCCCATACAGTGCCACACCGTATTAAGCATCTAGGAACACCTAGCCACTTCCTAATGTAAAAGCTTAACTAATCTTTTCCATTTTTTCTGCAGCAGATAATGGAATCTCATAAACAGACATTGGCCACATCAGTCTGGAAATAATCCGAACTGCAAACACCCACAACTTCTCAATTTTCCTGGAAGCCCTGAGTTTATCTATTCTATCCAGTCCCATTGGCAACATCTTCCGAAAACTGCACTACCTGTTCTCCGTCCTTCAAGTCTGCCTTGTACCACCTAAACCTAAGACTCTTTCACTGATTTTTCCCTAATTATTGGAATTTCCTCTTCGTCTATTACAAACTTCCTATCACTTAAGCTTCCCTCTACATTAATGAGATACTTTCTAGACTAACTAGGCTTAATTTTCATACTAGCCACTTTAACTTTTTATTAAGTCTCTCAAGTACTCTTTTTATAACCATGGCACCGGTTGTAGTTATCAACTGTTCATGTCATCATGTAGGCCCTAATTGTGGTATAGGCGCATCCATACCTGCCGCCTTCTCTCCACCTACAAACCCACTTAGAAGCCCTAATGATTACCTCCATCGCCATTGTGAATGCCAATGGAGAAATCGTGCACCCTGCCATAATGGCCTATTTCTAGCCTCTGCCACCTGTCGTAAAGCCTGCTGTACTTACGCATAGTTTAATGTCTTGGAAATACGACCTTACTAAATTAACCACTACTCCAGGCACTCTAAAATAATCAAACGCCTCCCCAAATAAGGCATGT